GTAATAAAAGTCATAGAGATACATGAATGGATAAAAATAGAAAAGGAAATAAAGGCTTTTAAGGCCCTAGACATCAGGGAGAGAAAAATAGACAAAATATTGCAGAAGGGATAAGCGTCTCCTGGAAAATCAGCTTTGAGTGGAAGCACGTGACTGCACCTCATTTCAAAGCTTCCCCGGAGGTGGGGTTTTTACTCTTCACACAACGAATGGGGGCCATATGCTCACCCCAAGTTGACCTCAAGTCCTTAGTCAGAGTGTCAGCAGTCACGGCTGCACTGACTTGCAGCACCATTTCCTGAAGGTTATCGTTCTAACCCATTCAGATGTGCCGTGTGCGGGTATTTTAATACTTGGAGGTTCTACAAGAATGCAGAAAACAGGCATGTTTGCTCCTCTTGGTTACAATTAGGGGCAGAGGAGGGATCTCCGTGATGGAAATGATGAGTAGATCTGACAATGTAAACATTACACAAATACCCCCCAAACTTCCGCACGCTGAAACGCATGATCTGGGAGACGGCAAGGCAGATGGTTAAGCTGGGGGGCGTACTTGCAGAGTGTCCTACAGAAGGCCACTATCGCTAATCCATGAACGCAAAAAACGCAAGGTGGTTACAGACGGCTGGGAGGAGGGGGCAGGCACTCGTGCTCCGTGGACGCTGAGTTTCACGCTTGCAAAATGAAACGTTCCCGAGGTCTGCTGCACAAACACATGAACAGATTCAACACTAATGGCCTGAACAGTTAAAAGTGGCCAAGACGGTACATTTAATGCTATGTGTGTTTTAACCACAATTTAAAAAGAAAAGATTTTTGATGACAACGTAAGAAGTTGAGTTTCCAACAGGAAACAGAAGTGGGCTAAGAACGAATGTTTAATAAGGAAAATTTTTAAAAATGTACACACAAAAGGGCAAAGCAACACTGAGATCGTTTTTTGCTTAACACATAGCTTTTTTCACTTTTGTAGTCTGTGTTGGTGAAGTTGCAGGGAAATGGGCGTCATTATACACAGCAGGTGGAATAGTAAATTGGTTAAGCTTTCTGGAAGGCAGTTTGGGGAGTGTTATCAAAAAAATATGATCGCACTGCAAAGTCTTTGATTCACACCCTTTGATTTAAGTTCATTTCTAAAGGTTTATCTCAGGGAATGAATCAGAGACGTGTGCAAGGATTTGGAGGCGAAAATTCAACCACAGGATATTTTGTATAGAAAAATCTTTGAAGCATTTTAAGTTTGTGTGGTGCTGTCATGGGGATACATGGGAACTTTGGGGTTTGGTCTAAAACTAAGATGCATCTTTTTTCCCACCCTTCCGTCACGCCTACATCCAATGCATCACAAAGTCTTACCATCCACCCACCCACTAGGCTGTATCCTAAAGTGCTCTGCCTCTCCATCTCTCCACTGCTATCACCGTGGTCCACGGTGGTGGTCCAGGACAGCCTGAGTGTTTCCCACATGCACTCCTTCCTCCTTCTACTGTAATGTAGCTGTAGCCGGACACGTGGCCTCCTGGGACAAAGCGTGTTCTCCCAGCCTCCCTTGCAGCTAGATGTGGTCCCTCGGTGGAGTTCATGGGCTGATGGGACGGGAGCAGAGGTGGTGCATTCAGAAAAAGGTCATGTCCTGCATGGAGAGGGGCAAAATCATCTCCTGTGTCATTGTCCTATGCCTGCGGCTGCCTTGTGGACACACAGTTGCTATTAGTTTGGGGCCATGGGGATGAGGTCAATATGTTTGAGGTCACTCAGCCACAGGATAGAAGGGTGCTATGTCCTATGCCACGGGGCCACCTGAGCAGGCTGCTCACATCAGGCAGGAAAGGTGGGGACAAGGAATTGCCAAGCATCTTAGGTCAGGGTTATCTTCCAGGAGCCAGAGTACCACCCCCAAGCCTCTCTGACGCCCCCACTGCCAGGCCCCCCAAATCGGTTCTCCACTTAACAGACACTCAGCAGTGAGCAGCCCCAGGCTGAAAACCTTCCAGCAGCCCCCGTCACCTTTAAAGATCCAGCTCCCGACTCTAGCTTACAAGCCCCGTGTGGCCCTGAGTGCTACTCAGAGTATCTTCTCCTCCTGGACTCATCGTGGTCCAGGTGAAGCTGGCCATCCTTCTGTCCCTTGACCACTTCAAGAATGTGCAACACCAACGAGTAGATTCATGGATGCAATGATATCAGATTTCTTCCAAACGTCTCTCAATAAACACGGAGTGAGCACGAAACACGAAGAGGCAACAGGTCTATTTAATGGAAGTAACTCCCCTGAAAATGGCGAAAGTTCTTTCACCCATCAAGTCAAAGGTGAAAGGAACACCTTTCTCTGGGAATGGAACTCAGAACACTCTGCGTACAAGAGACGGGAGGTCAGTTCCCGAGGAAGACGCTCAGGGAGTGTCAGTTAAAACGCATCAGATCAAACGTGTTTTCATCCAAGTCATTCACTTCCTTTTGAGAATCAGTGAGTGCCTGCCCTCCACCTCACACGCTCCTTATATTGGGAAACACGGGGGCTGGGACTATTCCCTTCCCTGAAACAATGTACATCGTGGCCAGGGTATCACTTATCCTTTGCATTCAGCAAATACGTCACAAGAGTAGCTAACGTTTACTGCATGGCTGAGTGCCCTGGGCATTTTTCCAAGCATTCCTGAACCATCCTTTTACCCTTGCAGCAACCTTATGAGTAGATATTATCCCTCCCCCCTTTAGAGATGAGGAAACTGAGGCTCAGTGAAATTAAGCATGATTGCATGGCAGGTAAGGGGTGAGCCTAAGCTGTAAGCATGTGATTTTGCTTCCTACGTGGCTCCTAGGACTAACCGAGAATAGAAAACCCTCCAGTGCCAGGATGAGCGACCTCTCTGAGCTTCAGTTCTCTCAAGTGGAAAAAGAGAAGGATTATTGCAAACCCTGCTCTTTGCTTTGCAATATCTAATCCCTTGTTTCCTTGTAATCAAGCCTACACAATGCACCATGCTATAAAAGAGATTTACCAGCCTTCCTTCCAGCTAAGTGTGGCCACAGGGCCAAGTTCTTGCCATGTGGATATAACCAGAAATATTATGTTGGATTCTTGTGAAGACTCTTTGAAAGGGAAAAGGAGCTGACCCAGTTTGATCATCGACATTTCTTACTTTTTCTGCTCTGCAGAATGTGGACGTGCTGGCTGGCATTCCAGCAGCCATCTTGGACCCTGAGGTAACCATGAGGATGGAATCCAAGCTGAAGCAGAAATAAAGATGGCACTTGAGTCCAGATCGCATGCGGCACCAGACCAGCCCAACACCACTAACCTTAGGACCTCCTTCACATCAAAGAAGAAACACGTTTGTATGAGAGCCACTATTGGCCGGGGTAGAGTGGAGTGAGCGGGCAGGGAGCTCCCCTGCTTTCAGCCAAATAAAACTTCTAACTGATGAAAGGGTCCACTAGGCCTTAGCTGAGGTTCTTTCTAGCTCTGCCATTGTACGCTCTTCTGCATTGCACACATCACAGCCAAAAAGGGGGACAGAAGGTGAGGATGGTTTCAGAGGCCAGTGGAGGACAGAGAGAGGGGCTCTTGTGAGAGTGGAGATTTGGGTGGGTGTGGAACAGGCACCAGGAGCATCACAGGGACAGCCTAGGCGGGAGGAGTGCTGAGTGCAGGAAACCAAGCCCGCTGGTCTACGCCGAGCCAAGCGAGGGAAGCCCCTCAGAGCATCGCCGAAAGCTCATCAGACCAAAGGTGCCGAAAAGGAACAAATTCAAAGAATTACTTATTTGAGACAAATGGTCTTGCCATCCCCTAGCAATAGGACCACCAACAGCCTAAACAAAGGAACGCTGCTGTCAGACATGAAGTGAGGGACCAGGGGAGATTCAGTGCCTTTAAAATGAAATAAATAGTTAATCAGAGCCTTTCTCAATGGAAGGACCCTAACACCTCTATGTTTCCTGATGAACACCCCAATAACTAACTTACTGTCACAAGGTGACTGTCCATGTCACTTTGGGTTGAAAGATGGATTCCTGACGTCCCTTCACCACCACATAATGACACTTGTCACTGGTCCCTAATACACGGTGAGGGGGAGACACCATGGCGACACCGGAGAGGTCAAGCCATCCTTCGCCTCTGACAGTAAAAGGACTTTTGTAACAGAAATCTCAAACTGCTGTCACTGGGCTAGCAGACCCAGGCACTGGCACTGGGAAAATCCACATTCAGAAAATGGGTGACTCCTTTGCAGAGCGGCCCTGGGGAAAGGTGGGGCTACACAGGGTGCTGGGGGGGTTTGGCTTAGGTGAACCCGGGTGATCCGTCTTCCCGCAGGCAATGTATTCTGTTGCCTAGAAACCAGGGGGCGGGTCCTTTCAGGGATGAAAGCCATCTCGTTTCCCACAAATCCTAGGAAATATAGGGGCAAGACGTGGAGCCCTAAGTCTTTAAAATTACAAGTTGCATACATAGATGGCCTGTGAATGGCTTCGAGTTAACCCTTTCTTGGATAACTTTGATTTTCCAAAGGAAAAATTGGTTCTACCATGAACAAGTTGGTGTTTCACATTAAAATCAGCAGATCTGAAGAATCCAGAACCTGGTTTGGCTTTCCTGCATGGCAAACATTGGCTGGGGCCGTTTTACCGAGCAGGTGTTTGTCAAGTCTCCCTCCTGCCACAGCTTCACCCACATACATGGTCTGTTTGGTCCTTGCAAGTGTTACGTGTTTGAAATCCTCAGTCTACAGCATATCATACAAAGACTGATTAAATTGTCACCTTTTCACATAATGGAAGACCCAAACCTGATGCCTGGATTTTGATTATTTTCTAAATAATATTCTAAAGATACTATCCAGAAAAGAATTTTTGAGAATTGGCGATTTGCAGTCGACTTCGTGGTTCGGTTCCTCCCCTCCCCGCCCCGCCTCCGGTTCTGGGCTCACTGACACTCCCCGATTGTGTCTTTCCCCACGGTCTGTGTTAAGAGCCCAAGGCAGGGCCATTCTTACCATGGCCAGCGGGACGATGCCGATCAAGTCCTTCTGGCTCACGTAGATCTTGGACACCCCCAGGTCGGATGTGATGCCTCCTGGGTAGTCGACCTGCCACGTGATGAGCTGCGTGGCCGGCAGGTCACTGGGCTCTTCGATTTCCACGTCGATCTGCATGACTTCATAGGAGGCGCCGTCCACACTAGAGGGAGGAGAAAACAACTTTGAGGACTGGGGTGGGCGTGCTTGGCGGGCAACTATTTCACACGTGAGTTCACAGCATCCCTGCGAAGAGCTTGGCAGAGACAGGATCCCCAGTGTCCACCGGCAGGTGATGAGATAAAGAAGTTGTGATAAGGATATATATGTGTGTATATATACACACAAAACGGGTTATTACTCAGCCATAAAAATGAATGAAATAATGCCATTTGCAGCAACATGGATGGACCTGGAGATGGTCACACTAAGTGAAGTCAGCCAGGCAGAGAAAGACAAATATTATATGATATCACTTACATGTGGAATCTAAAAAAATGACACAAATGAACTTACTTACAAAACAGAAACAGACTCACAGACGTAGAAGACAAACTTATGATTATCAGAGGGAAAGGGGGGAGGGATAAATTAGGAGTTTGGGATTAACAGACACAAACTATTACATATAAATAGAAAAACCACCAGGTCCCACTATACAGCACAGGGAACTATATTCAGTATCTTATAATAACCTACAATGGAAAAGAATCTGAAAAAGAATGTGTATATGTGTGTATAACTGAACCTCTTTGCTGTTCACCTGAAACTAACGCAACATTGTAAATCAACTCTACTTCAATGAAAAAAAAAGAGGGAGAAAAAGGAAAGAAATGTGATCCCCAGAAGAACAAACCGCCTTTAACAAGACCCATGGCCTTGGCCTGGCCTCGGTCAACGTCACTCCAGCTTCGCAGCTCTGCTCTGGGTGAGCTGCTCGGAGTCCCCAGGACAGGTGCGTGTGGGTAACTGCGGAAAATGGTGATTGAATTTCCCACATGCTTTCTTCCTCACGCCCCATCTGAGAGGACAGGGTTCTTTCCCTCTCTCCCCGAAACCTCTGAGCTGCCTAGATTGCATTTCCCAAAGCTGCAGTCCACTCAAGCCGGGGGCACAGAATTTTAAGGGCGTCTGAGGGTGATCTGGCTTTGCTACCCAGCGGGGCTGAGACAGAATTGCAGAGAATCAGAGGTGAGGCGTGAACAGGAGGGCGGGGCCAAGGGATCCAGACGGATGAGCCGGGAGAAGCGGCCAGATGTTACTTGGAAATAGGAGTGATTATGACTAGGATTCATTTTTAGACGTTCTAGGTTTTCCACAAACACGTATCTGGCAAGGAATACCAGTTGGACGATCAGGACGATTTTTACAGTTATTTTGGTTCATTTCATTCACTGGCTATCTCTTCTGCCTCTTTAGAGTCAGCTTTTCTAAATCACTGGCTCTACTAAGTGACAGGTGAAAAGCAGGGCAGGTGTGGTACCAGCCACTCCCTGAGGGAAGAGGAGCACAGGTGGCAACGAACCCAGGAGGCAGCGAGGACAGACGCTTTTGAACCCTTCGTGACCAAAGCAACTTCCCCCATCAGCTCTGCCTCTAGAGGTGCTGAATCTCACGTACTTGCAAAACGGTCGTTGACTCCGACCTTTAGGACGACGAGGCTTGGCCTTTTGTAAAAGGCAGAGCTCTGAAGCATCTTTATCACACCATCAAGCCACGCAGATTTATCGGGAAGAAGCTCGGAGGTGAATGGCAGGGGCTCCAGGGAGCTTCCTGCTTAAAGGGAGGGATGGGATGGACCAGAGTATGGGGGGGGGGCAGAATAAAAGGAGGGAGGGAGGGGAAGGCCGAGAAGACAAGGAGGGGGAACTCCAGGGGGAGGAGGAACAGAGACAGGACATCAGAAGACCTGCGATGAGAGCCCCGTTGCGCAGGTTAGCTTTCGTCTGAAGCAGTGATCTCGCAGCCGGAACAGGAGTAGCGACCCTGGGCTGTGAGCAGCGATTAGAGAAAAATGGCCCCTGGTTTTTAAATCCTGCAAGATTTACTCTCAGTTTCTGAAAGAAGGATGCTTAACTCTCGGAGAAACAGTGGCTGCGATAAGAATTAGAGACAGACTGCGTCAGCCGGTGTGGATTTATCCCCTCTCCAGCTTGCTTTTCTTAAGATGTACGCTGCCGTCTGTCTGGAACGTCTGATGAGGGTTCTGCAAGGACAGGAACCTTGAGATCGGGGTGCCGGAAGGCATTTGTGCGTTTTGTATCTGGAAATCCCACGAATGTGGGTCTGACTTCCCCATTCATGAAATGGGGCCATCCTTCTTTTGGGATTTGCCATCTCTGGTCACAGGGTAAAGAGAGATCCACAGAACAGAATCAGCAGAAGTTGACTTGTTGAGTTCAGGAGCTGGGCTCCACCACTGAGGTGTATGGGGACTCGTACGCGGTGACGCCGGCACACAGTCATGTGACCTTTCCCCATTCTCTGCCCCTGTCTCCTCCCAGGTGCCAGAACCTCGAGGAAGCTGAGCGATCTTGGCCTCCATCGGAATACGGGGCTGTTCTTATCTGCACATTTTTCTTATGGAGTTCACTTTACCAACAAAACATTTATAAGCTTCATGTATTCAAATCCTTCCCATTCTCCAACATCCGCAACAATTTTTATTTTTTAATTTTTTATCTTTTTTGAAAAAAAATTTTTTTGAGGTTACAATTTTTAAAAACTTTTATTGAAGTGTAGTTGATTTACAATGTTAGTTTCAGGTATACTGCAAAGTGATTCAGTTATACAGATACATACATACATATATATATATATATTTTTTCTTTTCAGATTCTTTTCCATTATAGGTTGCTATAAAGGATTGAATATAGTTCTCTGTGCTCTACAGTAGGTCCTTGTTATTTATCTATTTTATATATAGTAGTGTGTGTCTGTTAATTCACAACCCTTAATTTATCCCTCCCCACACTTTCCCCTTTGGTAACCATAGTTTGTTTTCTATGTCCATGAGTCTGTTTTTGGTTTGTAAACAGAGTTTGTATCATTTTTTTAAGATTTCACATATAAGTGATATCATATGCTATTTGTCTTTTTCTGTCTGATTTACTTCACTTAGTGTGATCATCTCTAGGTCCATTTATGTTGCTGCAAATGGCATTATTTTATTCTTTTTTATGGCCGAGTAGTATTCCACTGTATAAATGTACCACATCTTTTTTATCCAGTCATCTGTGGATGGACATTTAGGTTGCTTCCCTGTCTTGGCTGTTGTAAATAGCACTGCAGTGAACATTGGGGTGCATGTGTCTTTTTGAATTACAGTTTTCTCCAGATACCTGCCCAGGAGTGGGATTGCTGGATCACAGGGTAAATCTATCTTTAGCTTTTTAAGGACCCCCCATACTGTCCTCCATAGTGGATCAATCATTTTTAAAGTGCTCTATGTACTTCATCTAATTTTACTCCTTCAGGAACCTTGCCTGGCTATCCTGCCAAGTCTGGTTTCCCTTTCCTTCCCTTAGGCCCCTTGCCTGGCCAAGATGTAAAGGAAACGCAGTCTGTTTTGAGCTAGCTTTCTTCTTTTGAGGCGCTGATGAAAACACCCTAAGTTGGGAATTCTTAACCCGGGGGCCACAGCAAACTTTAGGAAGATCGTGTGTCCTGAAATAGTGTTTTTCTTGACTGAGTCCATAGCTTGCCTGGGCTTCTCAATATTTCTGATGCAGCAGGGCGTGCCCCAGCTTCCTGACAATTTCCTCTGTAAATTCTGCACATGGTGATCTAGCTTTGGAATATCTCATCATGTGTGTCTTGGCAAACCAGTGGAAATATGAATTTTAATACCTTTTTTGTAAATATTTAGCACTTGAGAGCTTCCAGAACTCTTGCATATTTGGCAATATTTATCCCTTCTTCCTGTTTAACTGTAAAGCCAAGGACTGTACCTTTGCAGTTTGAGTGTTGGGGTGTTAGACTGAAAAGCGTAGCCATGCTTGTCCTGTTCCAAGTGTGTCTGGTGCAGAGGATAATGCCTGGTAGTCATCAGAAGGAAGCTGCTATGTTATAGGAGATAAATACAGAGGCACAGGTAGAAGTATGTAAAATACGTCTGCATATTTTATAGGCAGGGGTTCTCCACTGCCGCCAAGGCATTGGAATTGCCTGGGAGAACTTTACAAATAAACCGAAGTCCAGGCACCACCCCCTTCACATTTCTGATGGTTCTTGAGTGGAGCCAGGCACTGATTTTCTTTCTTTCTTTCCCTCTTTCCTCCATCCGTTCCTTCTTTCTCCCCTTCCTTCCTTCCTTTCTTTCTTTTTCTTTCTTCCTGCCTTCCTTCCTTCCTTTCTCTCTCTCTCATCTAATCTCCCTCCCTCCCTCCCTCCTTCCTTCCATCTTCCTTTCTTTTTCATCCAGGTGACTCTACCATGCCAGCAGGATCGTGAACAGCTTCATTAGAGGTTTACAAAGTTTAATAATGTAGATACCTGTGCTCTTGGAAGTATTCCGTATGTAATGGTATTAGACATAGAATGTACTAAGTTAGTGGATTTGGGAAATATGATCAGTAGAATCTGGGAGGACACAGATGCACCAAGAAGAAGAAGAATTCAGGGTTTTCGACGTCCCTGATTACAAGAGTGAGGGAGGACAGGGACAGTGCTCCAGCCAAGGGGGCCTGGGGTCTGCATAAGCATAAAGTGTTCAGATGCTGCTTCTGGTGGCCTTAGACACACAGCCCCGCCCACCCAGCCTCCCCTCCTCCCCTCATAGGCAAGTCAAATAATGAGCCATACGGACGGGCAACACTTGATGTGTGAGCTCCACATCAAGTCTGTTGAGCCTGGGCAGGGTTTGCGTGGGACACAGTGCGGTCCCCCAGGGAGAGGCCCAGTGCTGGGTCACACTTACAGACCCAGGAGCTGCCTGCGGTTTTAGTGTCTCCCGCTGGTGTGGCCGCTACCAGCGTAGGTGAGACAAGGAGCCGTCTTCCCGCCCTGTCTGGCTGGCAGCTGTCCTCTGCATGGAAGACGAACAAAATGCAAGCGGAGGAGGGGACGCAGCCTCTCACAGGCACCTCGAATCCTTACTGACTGGCTCCACACATGTGAGTCTGGAGACATCTCCCAGTGGTCTGTCCTCTTTCATGGAGGAGA